GGTGGCGACAGCAGTAGTGACGACTCCTTCGACACGGACCACCCTTCCACCAACAACGGCGCGGCAACCGGAAGCTCGGCGCGCACGGCGCTTGATGTATCGGCACTCACTGTTGTGATGGACAAGGGTAAAACGCCGTCGAGGGCGAAATCTTCATCCCCAAAACCGCTGCAGTCGGGGGCGTCCTCCGCGACCCGGAGGTCCCTCAAACGCAACCAGAACAAGCCATACTCAGCGTGGCCTGTCAGCCTCCTACAGATCGCTATCCAGGCGCGACTTATCTCCGGCCTTTTGAGGGGGAGGAACAGCTTAGTGTTGGAGAAGGCCCTAGCCGATGTAGACAAGGTGTGTGGGCGCCCAAGCCCCTACTACGCGGACCTCGAGGACAAAGCAACAGGTGGGAACCCTTCTGTGCGTTTGATTTTTCCCTCTCTCATCCCACTGTTCATCTACCTCTCTCTGTACAATATCTCTTTCTCTCCCGCGCTCTCTCTCTCTCTCACGACGAAAGAGCACATGTAGGTGGTCGACTTCGCACTATTTTGGTGCATGTCCCTACGGCTGCATCGGCACCAATGCCATGCGCACGAAAGCTCCAATCCTAACCGCTTTTTTTCATGACACCTCTCTGCTCCACCCATGGTTCTCAACCTGCGTACTTCCAGGTGAGACCCCGGCCTCCAAGCCCCTAATGGCGTCACCAGAGACCGTCGAGGTTCCGGAGGCCCTGGTTTTGGCTGTGCGTACCGCCATTTGGCAGTGGGGCGAGCATTAACCCGAAGAAAATGATGGACTGGGAAGAGAATGCCTACCTCGCCAGTCGCGTTTTGGAGGTGATAGCGGATGAAGACCGCGCGTCAGGGGTCGACGTCACCACCGCCGGCCGAAGGAAGAGTAAGCACTGCGTTCCCCGGGCGGTGGAGCTGATGGTCGCCGAGCGCTTCAAGGAGCGCCTTGCCGCGGGCAGGACGCAGTTGTGTAGGACGGCGCTCGACAATAAGGAGACGGACAACAAGCGGTCGGTATACTTTGAGCTATGGAAGGACTTCAAGGACACGGAGGTGGAGGTAAGGTCTGAATGTATACCGTTTCCGTTAGCCTGCAGGAACGAATCTTCTTGAGGTTGCATCCAAGTCTAGTTCGCATGCTCACAGCAATCTAGCACCCAGGGTCAGGGGTTTGAATCCCGTCGAGAGGGAGATTTTATTGCGAAGAAATTTTTATCTCGCGCCCGTCCTAGCGCTATTAGTGTGCACTCTTCTCGCGTTTTGTCGAAGGCAAGGACCGCAGGAGGGTAGGTAGGAGGAGCTTTAGGGGGATGAACACGTTTGTGTGACAACGGGTTGTTGAGGTCCTACCCAGCAGCAAGAACTTGTGCCAGCGCTCATTTTAAGGTATTGAAAAAAAAACAGCACAGCTATTTGGGACAACGTTGTCCCAAATGTTTATTTGGGACAACGTTGTCCCAAATAGCCGTGCTGAAAAAAAAGCGATGTGCTTCGTCAAACTCTATCGGCCTGGTGTTCCCCCATGAATCTCTCAACCTTCCCGCCCCCGCCCCCCAAAACATATATAAAAAAACAACGCCCTTTTGCCTTGTTGCAGGTGGTCGCACGCCTCAAGGACGACGAGCACATCACCGCGGCGCAGATCGACCCGAACATAGTCCATCAGCCCGACATTNGCAAACTTGGTTTAAGGTCGATCCGAGCTTTCTACGCCGAGTTAGACGTGTTGTCCCGAATAAATATTTGGGACAACGTTGTCCCAAATAGCCGTGCTGAAAAAAAAGCGATGTGCTTCGTCAAACTCTATCGGCCTGGTGTTCCCCCATGAATCTCTCAACCTTCCCGCCCCCGCCCCCCAAAACATATATAAAAAAACAACGCCCTTTTGCCTTGTTGCAGGTGGTCGCACGCCTCAAGGACGACGAGCACATCACCGCGGCGCAGATCGACCCGAACATAGTCCATCAGCCCGACATTTTGTACGACAAGTTCATGAACGTGGTGAAAGAGGACTATGGCCACCAGAACATGAAGGAGTCTGGGGTCACGAAGAATGGTACTCCTTCTGCCGTCGTAAGGTCTGCTCCTTTTTTATTGTAATGGCCCTTGTGCAATAGGTGGTGCAGATAACGGCACGTGTCGGGGGGGCACTCCTAGAGAAAAACAGTGGTTGGTCCACGTGCCGGGAACTTTAGTGTTGAATGCAATTGAATGATATTTCTGTAGCGTGCACCGTACTATGCTTGGGACGATGCTGGAACAATAACCCGGATAATACAGTTAACGTCGATCAAACATTCCTCAACCACTGCAGAATTCAATCAATCACAAACAGGGGACTTGCCTTGTACCAACAGGTGTTGTGTTGCAGCGATAAAAAGTTCAGGTCGAGGTCATTCGAAACGTGGTTCGTCGAGAAATGAGTAGTGTTCGGGCTCTCCGCCCTTGTTAGTTTTGGGTCATGTCATGTGCAAGTGTTCCTCTGTTGGCCGTGAACGCCCGACAAAGTACAGCCCCCCCCCCCCCCCCCCCCCCCCCCCCCCCCCCCCCCCCCCCCCCCCCCCCCCCCCCCCCCCCCCCCCCCCCCCCCCCCCCCCCCCCCCCCCCCC